GCTTCGGTCCGTGCAAGTCTACACAGATGGGCTCCTCCTTCCTCAGACCCCCCTCCCCAAGCGACGTCTTGCGAGTCCAGCCCAGGTCTCTTGGGCCCCATCCTCCCCCATGCTTTATTTATCTTGTCTTATATTATGAGGATTCTCAGTGTAAGAGTGACCTTCCAACAATGGCATCTGAGGGTGGAAAGTTGAGCCGTGAGTTTGGCTGATAGAGCAAGCATTCTATTCATCTGCAGATGTTCTCTTCCTCTCTCTTTTGGCACTGATTTTTCTTTCACTTTTTTTTCTTTTGTGGAAGAACCTGTGTTTGGCAGAACACACCTGTCAGCATCCTTATAAACTAGTTCCTTTCTCTTAGTGAAAGTCCTTGCATAGTGGGTACTTAGCTTTCTTTCACTGGCCACGGGGACTCTCCTTCTTGGAAGATCCACAGTTCCCTTCCATCCCACCTCGTGGTGGCAGGTGCTACAGGAAGGCTTAGTTCCTGAAGTCAGAAGGACCCTAGTTGGAGTCCCGACTTGAGCACTTTAGTAACAGCGAGACTTTGGAAAAGATACTTAACGGCTCTGAGTTTGATTTCCTCGCCTGTAAAATGGGCATCTCGAGGAACACGGAAGGAAAGGAGAATGAAGGCATCTCACATGCAAAATGGTCTGGATGCCTCATGGAAGAGGCATCTTTATTTTTAGTAAATTGAGGAGAGTTGGGTGCCATTCATTTCTTGGGAAGGTCAAAAGGCAGGTGCAGTAATCTCTTTGGGGCACACATATTTGTATGAGATAATCATTTTCTTCCTGGTCTCCGTGTTTTTCTCCAGTGACATGGTGGGAGATGGTTTGGGGATGCTGTCGCCTGTCTATAGGGAGAAGTGGGCCAGAGGGGTGGGAAATGTGGCTGGAGGGTCCTTGTCCTTCCCCTGATGGACTGCCCTGAGACTTTGGGCTGGACATTATCTTCAGTTTCTTCATCTATAAAGTGATCAGAAGCCTGAACCCTTCGTCGGGCTGATGAGAAGTGAAATGAGACGGACTTTGGAGCATTCTGCGCAGTGCCTGGTGCAGAGGGAGTGCCACACATCACACTGGCATAACCTTGGAGGGTCCTGGTATTGAGGGTATTTCTATTTTGTTCACGAGGCAAGGAGGTTCTGATAGGAACCTCCCCAAAGCAGTGATTCCCCCTCAAGTTCTTCCCTGAGGTTCCCCCTGAAATGTTTCCAGTTGGCTGGGCCATGTTTCTGATTTTGGAAATGTAGGCTCTTCTCCACAAGAGGGTCCCTGTGCAGAAGGACCCTGGCCTGTGTAAGTAAGCATCGCTTGTTGTCGGTCCCCTCCACTTTCTCTGGAGCTTGAGGATTCATAGCCTTGACCTTGATATGACCTTGCAGAACAGAATTTGGTACATGGTGTGTTGCTCATTCTGGACCCCACCTGGGCTCGAGGGAGAGATTAGAGCTCATTTTCAGCATCCCCACACCCTTGTACGTGCTGTTGCCTCTGCCCGGAACGGTGTTTGTCTTCTCATTTCTTCTGGTAAATGCCTAGCCATCATTTAGGTGTTTGTGTGTATGTGTGCGTGTGTTTGCAAAAACTTCTCCAGGCCATCCTCAGAGAATTCTGTGGCTCTCTTCTCTGTACCCATAATGCTCCTCTCCCATGGCTATGACGCCCCTGCTGTGCGCTGTGCACAGGCACCCCACCTGCTATCCGCTCTCTGTCTCACCTGTACCCACATTTTATCCTCGAGTCTTACTGTGTTCCCTGTAGTTTTGCAAGGTGCAGGCCTCCTCTCAGCTCTGCTGTGTGCCCCTCCCCTGGGTCCCCACCCCATGTGGTGAGCCCTGCTCAGTGCTTGGCCTCTGTTGAACACCCCCTGCTTGCAGAGATGTCCCTGAGCACCCATGTCTGGGTAGTCCTCCCGCGGGCCTCAGGGGCACCTTGTCATAGTCCCTACCACCCACACCAAGTGGTCACTTTCTGCTTTCACCTCTGTGTCCCCCGCTGGGCGCTGCACATCTCGGGAGAAGGGGCCATACATCTTGTTCCTTATTGTATCCCTGATCTGGCACCGGCCTATAGTAGCTGTTCATTGTGTTAAACTGTAACATATCTTCATCATGAGGAGGGAGCCTGACTCCATTATCTGCATGTCTGTGGTGGTTAGCACAGGCCTGGCTCACGAGAGCGCTTCACAAGGCCAGCTTAGGGCATCAGCTCTGAGGCCCTGTCCCGCTGAGCTCCAAATTCCCTTCTTCCTGAATCATCAGATTTCTCTTTTAGCATCAGAGCACCAAGAAGCTGGGACGAGTCGCTGAGGCCCGACTCTTCGCAGAAAGCTCCAGCTTTCAGGTGGAAGTACTTCCACTCCTCCCCCCAGCCCCCAAGCTGAGCTGTTATTGGCAATTCATGTAATGTTTCTGGGCCTTTCTGCAGGCTCAGACTCACTCTGGTCGTACTTAAGAACATGAATTGGCATTGTCCAATGTTAGCAAATGTTCTCCCAAATCTGCCAGTTGCAGACCCATCTCTGTCCTCTTCATCTGATCAATATGTTGAGCACCAAGGTCAATGGGAGTCACCCCATGGGTTCCTGGCCCATTTATTAAAAATGTGGAACGATTTAAGTTCTTGCTGCTTTGACTGGAAGTCGTTGAGCGCGTGTTGTTTCCAGCAGGCTCTGGGGCTGGGAGGTCAAGTTTCAGATGCGATTCATTTGGTGTAAAGGTGAGCCAGCCAGGCCTGGAATAAAGAAGAACTGACAGCTGATTTACGATGTGGCTTTTAAACAAATCGCCCCTAAAACCCAGCTCGTTTCATTATGGAAGGGGCTCAATTTGTATTAAAGTGTCTGTCATCCTCGGCCCCTGTAGTCAGCAGCTGCTGGAAAGAAATGGATTTCTGTGATTCCAGAAAGCATCTCCACACCGTTTGGCAGAAGAAATGCTGGTGCTCAGGTCCCTCATACATTTACTTGATGCCAGAACATACTGTTTGCACCCGGGGGCGTGTGTGACTGAGCGAAAATAGCTCTGGGAGGCCCCGTCCTCAGGGCGAAGGGCGATCCAGTCTGCGCGGATGCCCCCACACAAGTTGCCTTTTTGCACTGGTGACCTGTTGTGGTTTCTGTCCCCAAAACGGGGATCAGGGACAGTGATAGGTCCAGAGAGGAAGCTGCTTGGTGCTTTTGGGAGGCGATGCCTGTCTGGGAGCGTTCCCAGGGGCGCTTTCCCTAATTAACGTGTTTCGGTTCACGGTGTCCCATGCAGGAAATAGAAAGCCCGCATTAGTGTCCAAGAAATAGAGAATGTGACTAAAACCTTCTCATAATTCTGGCGCTGACTTCCAGGCATTTCAGTGTTTAATGACACACCATCTTGTTTCTCTTTGCCCTTCCTGTTCCAAATATGACATGGAACATTCTGGCGCCGTCCAGGAACGCGGGGCTCAGGGGGAGCCCCGAGGGTGGCAGTGCAAAGAAGTGAGGCTCTTGCGATGGCGACTCGCATGGTCATGGGTTCTGGCCTTCCTGTCCCCATCCCAGTAACAATGACTAAGCGGCAGAGAAAGTGGAGTCACTTCTGAATCCCAGACATGCCGCCCCGGGGGCTCCTCATTAGTGGTCAGTCCGGCAGCGGCTGATGGGAGCCAGGCTGTCCGTGGGTACTCAGGAGGGCCGAGCTTGGAACAAGAGGCCCTGCAAGGGGATAGTGGCTGTGGAAGGAAAGCTCACCGTGACAGGGGTGCCGATTTAGCCAGACAGTGCTGGGTATGACGCGCCTTCGCGTCCTGGGTCTCCAGACCGAGCTCGGCTCTCTGTTCGGACCAAGGCGGATGTGAAATGGAAGATTGCTCCTGGGAGGGGCAGCCCTCCGTCTGGGTGCTTGCACGCAAAACATCTGGACGCATCTGGTGCCACGAGCCAGAGATGCCAGCTTCTCTTGGCTGGGCAAGTGGCCTCCTGGACTTTGGCACTGCAGTCCATAAAAGGAGAATTTATGACAAACAAGGAAACCGATCTCTCTCCTGCAACATTAAAAAAAAACGTTCTCAACATGGAGTGTTTGTTGCTGCTTTTTTTCCTGGCAGCCCAATTCAACTGAGTAAATACGCTACAGTTCCGTATTTCCATCGCCTACCTCCCCACCTGCAGAGCTCCTCCGGCAAGGTGTTTGTGCTTCTCGGTTTGCACGTTATCACATGAGGCCCAGTGTTTGGGGGTGTTTATACTTAGATCTATGTCCTCCGTATGGCTTCATGGAAAGAATTTGAACTTTGGGGCCAGACAGATCCAAATTTAAATCCAAATCCAACTTTTCAATAGTTGTGTGAGCTTGAAAAAATCAACTTAAGTTTCCCTAGCCTGGTTTTCCTTGTGTGTAAGATGGAGATAATTCCTGTTTCAGGGTGCAAGGGGGGTTACGCGGGGCAATGCATTGTAATTCTAGTCAGGAGGAGGCCTGGGGGAGGCGGGCCTTGTATACTGCTTTGGCAACCATCTCTCCGCCAAGCCAGTTTGCACTTTCCTTCAAGGTGACATCGTATTCTGTTTATTTCTCTCTCTCTCTCTCTCTCTCAACACTCAGCCCATTGCCTTGTATATAGCGGAACTCCAATAAATTGTCAATGGACTAATTTTATTCTAAAGTCAAAGTGGAGTGAGGAAGGGACTCAATGGCAGGTGAAAGGGACATGTGACTGCGCCAGAGCCTCTCTACTCGAAGTGTAGTATCAAGGTCAGGGTCACCAGAGAAATAAAAATTCAGAATCTTGGGGTGCGTGGGTGGCTCAGTGGGTTAAGCATCCGGACGCTTGATTTTGGCTCAGGTCACGATCTCACGGTTGATGAGATCCAGCCCCGAGTCGGGCTCTGTGTTGGCAGTGTGGAGGCTGCGTGGGATTGTCTCTCTCCTTCTCTCCCTCTGCCCCTTCCCTGCGTACTGTCTCTAGCTCTCTCTGTCAAAATAAATAAATAAACATAAAAACCATACAGAACCTCTTGTGCCCTCTTCAGCAGCACGTATGCTAAAATTGGAATGATACAGAGATTAGCATGGCCCTGGTGCAAGGATGACACGCACATTCGTGAAGCGTTCCACATTTTTTCAACAATAGCCAAATTATGGAAAGAGCCCAAATGTCCATCAACCGATGAATGGATCAAGAAGATGTGGTTTATATATACAACGGAATACTACTTGGCAATGAGAAAGAATGAAATCCTGCCATTTGCAACAATGTGGATGGAACTAGACACTGTTATGCTGAGTGAAATAAGTCAGGCAGAGAAGGACAGATACCATATGTTTTTACTCATATGTGGAACTTGAGAAACTTAATAGAAGACCGTGGGGAAAAGGAAGGGGAAGAAAAATAGTTACAAACAGAGAGGGAGGGAGGCAAACCACAAGAGACTTAAATACAGAGAACAAACTGAGAGTTGATGGGGGGATGAGGGGAAAGTGGGTGATGGGCATGGAGGAGGGCACTTGTTGGGATGAGCACTGGGTGTTGTATGTAAGCGATGAACCACTTTGGGAATCTACCCCCAAAACCCAGAGCACACTGTATACACTGTATGTTAGCCAACTTGACAATGAATTATCTTAGAAAAAATATAGAATCTCAGGCCATACCCCAGATCTACTGAACCAGAGTCTGAATGTTAACCTGTTGCCCAGATGATTCAAGTGCATGTTAAAGTGTGAGAAGCCCTGGTGTTAATAAACGAGGGAACAAGATTCGGAAGCCAGCAAATAATTTGTTAAGGCCTCTGGTTTTATTTAAAGGGAATATTTGGGAGCCTGGGTGGCTCAGTCAGTTGAGTGCCTGACTCTTGATTTCAGCTCAGGTCATGATCGCAGGGTTGTGGGATTGAGCCCCATGTCAGGCTCTGTGCTGAGTGTGGAGCCTGCTTGAGGTTCTCTGTCTTTCTCTCTCTCTCTGCCCCTCTCCCCTACTCTTTCTCTCTCTAAAAAAATTTTTAAAAATTTAAAAGAAAATTCTATTAACAATGAAATCTAATACTAAGAATTTTAAGGCCAATGTCAGCTTTCCTCCACTTCCAGAAGCCCCTGACCCTGGCAGTTAGTCCATGCCCACAGATGGAGCTGCCCCTGCACTTCCCTTTCCCCTTGGGGCTCTAAGTACCCATCCCTTGTCCTGTGCTCTCAGGAGGCAGTGTTGTCCCTGATGGCAATGTCCCCTTCCAGGCTTTGCGAGCCTGCTTTTTGCCCGGGGTCTCCTGGCTTGGCGCCGTGCCCCAGGACGCACTCAGTAACCACGGCTGTCTGTCTGCCTGAGCGCCAAACACGGGGACCTTGCTCAGCTCTGCACAGAACACCCATTGTTTCTGTTTGGATCGCTGCCCTAAATTCGATTCATTGGAAAGTGCTTGAGAGGACCTGGCCTCTCACATCCACTTTTCGGAGTGGCAAAGACCCACTTTTCCAAAACAGGCTGAACCTTTGCATCTGTCTGTCCTCCCCACTGGTACAGGCTGTGCAAGCGTGTGGTCTTTCTTACCTTCCTCTTTGGACTTAGGCTTGGTAAATAAGGCATCCACATGGGGTTTAAATCCTGCCACTCTCTATGCAACCTGTCTTCCATGGGGGTGGGAACAAAATGCTTTTCAGTTCTACTTCTAAAATAGGCTTCCGGTCACGTTCCTTCTCTCCACCCCCTCAGGCACCACCTGCCCGGCCACCACCCTCCCCTGCCTGCACAATAGCAACAACCTCCTAACTGGGTCCTTGCAGGCTAACTCTCTGCACAGGCAGCCAGAGATTTTTTTTCTTAAAGCATAAATTGGATAATGTCTGTTTCCTGCTTGAAGGCTTCAATGTCTCCCCACAGCATTGCTCTCAAGCCTCCTCCTGGGGACCTCGGGGTGCTGTCCGTCTCCCGCCCTCTCTTCTGCCACCTCTTCCCATCCAGTGCTCCCTAATCACGCTGGTGTTCCACTTCCTGCGCCCGCCCGGCCCTCTCAGATCACAGCTGAGCCACCCAACCTGAGACACGCCTTCCCATCCGCCCCAGCTAAAATCACCCAGTTCTCATTCTCCATGCCGCTCATCACTTTTCATTTGCTGGCTTTCTTTGGTGTCTGTCTCCTCTGCTACAGCGTAAGCCCCATGAAGGCAGAGAGGGTGCCCATTTGCTCACCATCGTGTCTCCTATGTCTGCACCGGGGCCTGGCACATACCAGGGACTCACTGAACACCTGCCAAATGGGACCAATGAACCCACGGGGTGCTCAGCACTTTCACCCCAGATCCCCTTTCTGCCACGGGCTTTCTCCGGCAGATGGGTAGACTTGTCTCACGAAGTCTTCCTAATGCACCGTACGTCTTCTGTCTTAGAATCTACTGTGGTACCCTCACCACCAAATCTCTCCTCTCCCATGCGTCCCCCTCCCCACTCCCCATGCACGCTGATGCACTCATGTGTATGTACACCTGCTCTCTCTGTGTTGGCCTACAGCGTTCCTCTTAGAGAGAAGGTAGGGACAGTGGTTAAGTTTGGGCTCTGGAGCCAGACCACTCGAGTTTGAATCTTGCCCCCGTCAGTGACTTGTTGGGCAACTGACAAGTTCTCTGCGCTTCCGTTTTCTTATCTGTTAAGCAGAGACGATAGCAGAACCTTCCTTACGCGGTAATTGTGAGAATTAAAAGGCCGAAGGCATGCAAAGCTATAAAGAACAATGCTGGGCATGTAGTAAGTGCTATGTAAGTGTTAGGTATTATTATTATTTAATTGAGGAAGAAACCAAGGACCAAGACATGATTTTTGCCTTGTGACGTTCTCCTGGAGCTGGGCTTTGACTCCAGGCTTCCCCTAGACCAAGAAGCTTTCCACCTTCACCGTGGCTGCTAGAGGCTTTCTCTGGGACAGAATCTCTGGGGTCTCCTGGGGCTTAGTCAGTGATAAAGAAAAATCAGTTCAGGTGTTGAGCACAATCATGTGTTCATCATTTATGTCACTGCCTTGCTGGCTCTGCAAGCTGGAAACGAGAGGACAGGCGCTGGCCGTGGTCCCCGGAACAGGCTTATAGGACAGGCCCAGCGAGGGAGGCCCCTGGAGCAAGGGCCCCACCCAGCTGCTGTCTCAGGGCCCGTGTCAGGAGTCCTTTCCTTGAGCCAAGCCTTCCCTCCCTCCATCTGCCTTACACTCTGCCACTTTCTTGCCATCTCTGCACTTAACTTGGAATTAAGCCTTCTTCCCGTACTTGGCTTAACTTGTATGTCTCTCCTGTCCCAATCGCTTTCACCATGTTTTCTGCCCTTCCCCCCAGCCCTCCTACGGCGAAGCCTGACTCATGCTTCCCGGTGCTCACTGCCTTCCCCATGTTAGGGATCGTCCAGGGGCACAGGCTAATCAGGCCTCTCTCCTGCTTTCTGGAGGCAAGTCCAGGAATCTATGTCTTTTGTGAGCATGCCTAGTGACTTGTCTTTGGGGGAAACCGGGGAGTCCCCACCCAGGGCTTACTCACCTTCCTTCTCCACACGATCTCCATGGTTCTCCCCCAACCCAGGCCTCGTCTAACACCTTGACCAGGTGATGGCTCTGGTTCTGGTGCCCTGTGTGGCTATCTAGTCCCCCACCATCCGTAGCTTTTCTGTTCCAGCAATAGAAATCTCTTGATGGTAATAATCAAGTTTTCTCTCACACCGCGGACCCTCAGCACATACTTGGTTGACATTCTGCTTTTTCCCTCCCGTTGTATTCACTTTGGGTGAATGTTGGAATGGCTTTGTCTATGCAGCACCAAAAGGCAATGGGGGAAGAGACTTCGAAACACGTTAAGCAAAAGAGGCATGTCCACTGTGATTCAACACGTCTCCTACACTCCAGGTTTGACTGCGTGATGAAAGTGTCCCAAGGAGCGGGCAGGACTACTTGCTGATGTCTCTGGGAGAAGACCCGTGGACAAAGCTGGGTCGCGTTTCTTGCCCGAAGAGCCGTTCCCATGCCCAGCTCCGCCGTGAGCTCCACGTGTGACCCTAGGGAGATGTCTCAGCAAACCTAGCCTCCCATTTCCTCACTATAAAAAGAAGGTGAAGACCCTGCCAGCGTCGCTGGATGGTTGTGAGGCTGAACAAGACACCCAGTGCGGAATCACTTTGTAAACTGTAAAGTGCGGTGCCGACGGTCGTAATTACTCTCAGTCATCGCAAGAGTTGGCGTTCCAGCTCACCTGTTTTCCTCATTGCCTGGCAGCTTTCCTAGCTGGGGCATGTGACCAGAATTTAAACACTGTGCTAGGGCACCCAGAAAATCTACTCCCTGGCAAGAGCTGTACAACATCCCATCCTAATTGAGAGAGACAAAGAGGAACAAGGTCTCAGAGTCAGCTCCAGGGGAACGGCCAGCTCACACAAGAGACTCCTCGGGCCTCAAAACGAATTCTTACACGGGCGTGCCGGAAAATGTGAGCAGATCCATGGGAGGCTGTGGTTGTTTGGGGAGAAACTGGGAAACCAGACCGGCATCGGTCGGGTGTTTAACATCACTGAGAATGAATGAGACGGTCAGATGGTAACACTTAAAATCTGAACAATAACAATGAAAAACCAATAAAGGCATTACAGCGAAAGGGGACCGTTGTCCTGTAAGTGAACTCTTAGAAACTCAGATTTTTCTGAATTTGATAAGAATATACTAGAAGGAGGCAGCTTTCAGCGTTCCGTGGGCTCTGGTGGGGGCTGGGCAGTACGTGTGAGAAGAAAGCAACAGATTTAAAAAATCCAGACAAACACCAATAGAAATAAACTTGTAACTTGTTGTGACGTACCCATATCGTTAGAGGCTTTGCCCTTAACATTTCTCCTTTAAATCTGACTCCAGGAAATAGATTTGGAACCGGATCAATCCCATCCTCGACTCTGCCATCCTTCTGTCAGAATTATAAACAGGAGATGATTACAGCACATCCTGCATGTGCCTTCCATGTGACTTCAGTCCTGGCCCCACAAACGCAGCGAGTAAACACACCCCGAGAGCAGTTCTGAGGCATCGTCCGTGTGGTTCGCTCTTGAAGGGGGAGCGGCCAGGGGGGCTGGGCCCCTGCGATGTCTGCCCTGGGAGGTACCAGCCCTTCTCCCGG